TGAAATAAAGGTCAATCAAACCCAACTGAAACGCATGGGAGGGCCTTAAACCCACAGTGTCACTTAGGAGCTTGCTACAAATGCAGCATCTCTTCCTTATCTCCCTCCCTCTGCCAGGCCAGACCACTGAACCAGACTCTGCTGGTCAGAAACAGGTAATGCCTAGTCCCAGTGCAGCTGGACTTGGCCTGGAGAAGAGACTTTTGTTTAGGAATCAATGCAGAAGTCAAGGCCAATACAGCCAGGAGGCATAAAGACATCAATGCCACCACCCCTGCCCTCACCATTCGAGCTGCTCTAAACCCCTGTGCGCGTCCACTAATCTATGTCACTATTCTTTCCTTGTTTTCCTCAGTTTTCAATGTGAACTTGTGATTCCTGCATTGCCCGGGAGTGCCCCATCCCTATCATTCTCTGCCAACTGGATATTTGTGATTCATAAGATCTTCCTGGGCTAATTTTGGGAAACAGATCACCAGGCCTTTCTTCCTTGTCTGTCTTAATCAAGAGCTCTGCTGAAACCTGCTCAGCATCAGAGCAACATCCAGCTTTCACCGACACTGGCTGGTAGCTACACTTGAGGTACATTGGTCAGGTCTGCGCTGAGCTACCTGTGCTCTTAGGGTATTCGCTTGTATCGCAGAGAAGCAGAGAATAAGAGACTGCAGAGCCCCTGACCTGGAGAACAGGCTCTTCACAAGCAGCCCTTCAATTGATGGTTCCTGCTAGACAGTGGTCACTGTCTATACACACACACACACACACACACACACACACACGGGCACGTGACAAGCACAACTGCAGTAGTGTGCGAGCATATGGCCAGACCTCCTACACGTGTGATAAGACTCTACTTACAGTCTCTTAAGCTCCTGATCTGGGGGACCGAAATCCTGGAATCCCAAAGGAAGCTCTTAGACTCTACCAAATAGAACAACATCATCTCTTACAAAACACAGTTCAGGGCAGGTGGTCAGAGGCGCAGGCGGAAAGAGCCAGAACAGAAGCACCCCAGCGACACAAAGGCACATGGATCCAGTGAGTGACTCTGAATGAGGCTGGACTCCGCCCCAGCGGTGTCAAGGCTCTATCCCAAGACACCACACAGGAGGGAACATCCTAATTATCACCCAGAAAAGCCTGGGTGGGGCAGCTGGCATTTGCTTGCGTGCAATATATCTGCATTTAAGGTCTTCTACGTGTTTACAGGCTTATTCTATATTCAGCTACTCTTACTTTACCCACAGTGCTATCTGCTGTTCTCAACCTTCCCAATGCCGCAACCCTTTCATACAGTTCCTCATGTTGTGGTGCCCCCCCAACCACAAAATTACTTACGTCACTACTTCATAACTGTCATTTTGCTATTGTTATGAATCGGGCGACCCTGTGAAAGGGTTGTTCGACCTCCAAAGGGGTCACGACTCACAGGTTGCGGACCGCTGAGCTAGGAGATCTAAATTTTTCAGTGCATAGACTAATTACTACAGGAGGTCCCAAATTAAGATGTCCTGAGTTATGATGAGCAGCACTTAACCACGATCTGCTGTTGGTTGTTGGTTTTGTGTGTGGGTGTGGCTGTGTGTTACCATCATTTATATGGATACATACAATGTAGCAATGAGCAATTGGTTAAAGTTAGAAGAGGCTTATGACATAGTGGTCAAAGGAAACCACCCCCTGGGGATATACAGCATAAGCAACGACTTGGAAATGGGTCCAAAGGTGCTGCAGGAAAGACTGTTAATGACTCCAGGAAAATAGCAATTTACAGGACCTGTCGGGCCAAGAAGTAAAGAAGGGCTTGATAGTATCTGGGCAACACACATATACACACACACAATTTTTTTAAAATTTTAAGTTGATTCTGATTCCTAACGACGTCGTGTGTGTCAGAGTACAACTCTACTCCATAGGGTTTTCAATGGCTAACTTAAAAAAAAATACTTGACATTTCTTCCAAGCATGTCAACATATACAGTTTGTAGGACCTAAGAACTCCAGAAAGAAGCCCTGGAGGCCTATTGTGGCTTACACCTTGGCCTGACAACCACGAGGTCAGCAGTTCCAACCTACCAACTACTCCAAGAAAGAAAATTGAGGCTTTCTGCTCCTGTAAGGATTACAGCCTCAGAAACCCACCAAGGCAGTTCTACTCTGTCCTGTAGGGTTACTCTGAAGTACAATCAACTCCATGGTAGGAAATTAATTTGCTGTCTGTCAGGAACTCCACAGACTACTAACAAACACCCATATAAATTTAAAAGCCCTTATGGAAGAAACCCTGGAGACTGATGAGATACAGATTAATATTTTCTAGTCAACAATAAATTCCTACTCAATAATTCTCAAACTAAATTGTTACTTACATTTGATGTTTTTAATTTAAGACAGACACTAACCGCTATATTTTATAGCTACCTTGAGTCAGTTTACATTTTTTTAAATTTTATGATCTTGAACCTGAAGAATGTAGTTTTAATTAAGTAGCAAACTCATTAGAATGGAATAGCCCACCTTTCCACGAGAACAAATTAGCACAGTATATTGCTTTACTAGATCGACTACATTTGAATTTGCTTGGCATCCAAGCATCTGGAGGTCTCTACTACTTAGACTCACAACTTCAAAATATCAGTTCAGCCATAGTTAGGCAGAGATCTATAAAGAGTCGAGTGTGGTATTAAATGGTAAGAATACAAGGAGGAACGCGGACCAAGTGCCTTTCTGAGGGCATTCTTCAACTTAGGAATTCTGAAATGAGGTGGGAAACAAGGATTTCTCCCAAGTTGTCTCCCCCAAATAGATGCCAAACTTAGCTGCTTGCGAATGACTATACACTTGGAGGTCATCAGAAGTAGGTCAGGGTTATTCTCCCTAAGGGTTATCAGCCATCTAGAGTGAGCAGTCACCGCTGTTTATCCCACAACAAATAGGGCCCACTCCCTTCTGATAAGGACAGTAGTTGTGTTTCCTTGTAGCATACCCCAGAGAGGTCAAGCCCACCCACGCCCAAGGGTGAGCAAAGTTAGTCTGCCATCATGAATCTAGGGTCCACCTTTCTTGTCACATGTATACCTCTAGTTCCTCCCCTTCCTAT